CAGGTTTGGCGCGCCCCTTGCCTGCAAGCCACCCAGGAAAACACACCTCGATGCTCTGCAAAGTTTCCCAGCCGCCTGGGGCTGAGCTGTGGTCCCCGTGGGGGGCCTTGGTGACTCATGCAGGCTGGGTAGAGAGGGCTGTGGGCTCCAAGGATGAGAAATGGTTTGTTAACTGGTCATATCCTCTCCCCCAGCATCAGCGCCCCCGCACCCTGGACAGAAGGGCTGATGTGCGCTAGGATCTTGCTCTCTCCTTTGTGCACCATGGCCCAGACATTAAGAGAGCAGCCTCCTCCATGCCAGGCTGTCTCCCCCCTGCCCCACCACAGCAACTTATCTGCTATGTTCTCCCCCCTCACACCGGGGCTTTGTTCTCGTCTGTGGTGAGCTCCCCAGCAGAGAGGTGTGAGGCCGGCCAGGAAGGAAGGGGAGGGGAAAGCCCCCATGAGCTTCAAACACACCATTTTAGGGGCTCTCTGCTTTTCGGAGGCTCTGACTGGCCCAGCTGGACCCCCCTGCCTCCCACCTGGGGCTATAAAGGCAGCAAGGGAGAGTGCCCCTCCAGTGGCAGGGCAGAGACGCACCAATGGCTTTGGCACTGATCGTCCCCTTGGTCCTTGCTGTGGCCACAGGTAAGAAGTGAGGGCAGGGAGGCGGAGAGGGGCTGCTTTTCTGTCTCCCCCAGGGACGTGACCCCAATGTCAGGCCATTGTGGGGAGCCAGGCAGGTGTCGCAAGGGGCTTGAGCTGAGCTGAGAACTGAAATGTGCCCCTACTCTTTTGGAGAAAGAGAAGGGCTCGAGTACTGCAGCCCTCCTTTATCAGGCACTGGGCATGACCAGTCCCGGAGCCTGCCAGGCTGGGCAGTGGGATCACAACTGGTTTGATACAGAACCATAACATGCCTCGGAGCCAATCAGGCCAGGGTTCAGCATTCACACCGGGGGGGACTCCAGTCCCTTCCACTCCTCCAGCCTGCACCAGACCAGCACGGTGTCTGTTAGGGGCTGCACCAGTGGCTCTCATCCAGGGCGCCCAGTCACCTGGGGTGCAGAAAGATCTTAAGGGTGCCTTGTCGTACTGGCGTGGTCAGGTGTGCAAACACCTACACCCAATTCACAAACGAATTCCAGAAATTTCCGATTGCATCCAGAGTGTCAACACCATCCTGACCTGGTGTGTCCTGCTGAGCGCTTTGCAGCAGAAGAGTCGCTGTGGGATTTGCCCACGGTGCAAATATAAGCCGTAGCTCTGAGCTGGCATTGTCCTAGGGGACCTTGAGTCTGAAATGGTTGAGAACCACTGGTCCGGAGGGACTGGACAGGAGATGGCGGCCAGTGCTTACAAAGTCCCCGCTGTGGAAGCAGGGCGCAGCCACCAAGGAGGAGTATACCTGCTTGGCTCGTGCTTGCAGGGAAGCAGTGAGGAAGGCCAAAGCAGAAATATTACTCAGGCTGGCAACAAAGATTAAGGGTAACAAAAAGTCCTTCTTTGAGTACATAGGGAGCAAGAAGGCGGCACAGGGTAATATAGGACTGCTACAGGATGGACTAGGGCAACTTGTAACAGGATGAACAAAGCTGAGCTCTTAAATGATTTATTTGCATCTGTGTTCCTGGACATGGATACAAACACACCTTCCAATGAGACTTTAGTTTGGCTTGAGAGAGATACCAATCCATCAGTGGTTAGCGCTGACCTAGTGAAAGGGCACTTGGAGGGGCTGGATGTATTTAAGTCGGCAGGCCACAATGATCTTCACCCAAGGGTACTAAAGGAATTGGCCGGTGTCATAGCGGAACAACTGGCGCAACTGTTTGAGTGCTCGTGGCACTCGGGACAGATCCCAGATGACTAGAAAAGGGCCAATGTAGTCCCTATTTTCAAGAAGGGGAGGAAAGAGGATCCAGGTAATTATAGACCAATTAGCCTCACCTCTATTCTTGGCAAGACCTTAGAAAAAATCATAAAGGATCACATTTGTGGGGGGCCAGCAGGTAATACAATGTTAAGGGGCAACCAGCATGGTTTATAGCGGGCAGATCCTGCCTGATTAACCTGGTCTCTTTGTATGACCAGATCACAAAGTGCTTAGATGCAGGAGTAGAGGTAGGTGTTATTTACTTGGATTTTAGAAAGGCTTTCGACACAGTGTCGCACCCAATTCTTACAAGTAAACTAAGTAGCTGTGATGTGGATTTTTTCACAGTCAAGTGGGTGGAAAACTGGCTTATGGGATGCACCCAGAGAGTGGTGCTGGATGAGTCGGTTTCTACCTGGACAAATGTGGGCAGTGGTGTCCCCCAAGGCTTTGTCCTTGGACCAGTACTGTTCAATATTTTCATCAGTGATTTGGATGAGGGTGTAAAAAGCACTCTGTCCAAATTCACAGACACCAAGCTATAGGCTATAGTAAACACACTAGAGGATAGGAAGCAAATTCAGGCAGATTTAGATAGACTGGGGAAGTGGGTGGATCAGAATAGGATGCAATTTAACAAAGATAAGTGCAAAGTGCTGCACCTGGGGAGAAAGAATCACCAATACACCTATAGACTGGGAAGTACCAGTCTAAGTGGCACAGCAGTGGAAAGGGATCTTGGAGTCATAGTTGACACAAAAATGAACATGAGTCGCCAATGTGACGAGGTAGTAAGTAAGGTTAGCTGCACTC